GACTCCCTTCAACCCTTAGTTCGGTGAACCTCTCTCTCACCGGTGTGATGAGCAGCCGGAAGAAGTCAGCGTTGATTCCGTTCTCTCCAGCGAATACGAGTAACTGAAACAAGAAGGATTGCCTAAATATAGAGGGCGAGAAGAGAGGGAATTCTTTCTCACCTGGCTCTTAGAAGGCGAAGATGCGAAGTCAGTGGCATTGCTCAACTTGAGATTAATCTCCATTTTCAACGAATCTCCCGTGACTCTGAAAATATTTCACTCGCTCAGCTCAAACAACCATTACGGGGGCGTAACTTACTGGTCCATAAGCTCGGTCTTTTTGAGTTCTAGATAGGAGTGGCCAGAGAAGCGCATTGTAAGTAGTCGTTTTGTTTCTAAAATTGTGAGCTATAGGTAACCCTTACAAGATACCGCTGCAAACACCGTTGAAATATGAAAAAATAAAGCGCAGTTCGGCGACGAGGGGACATTTTGCTCTTTCGCTTCTCTGCGAACTCTGTGAACTCTTGTGAAGCTGGAGCTAGCTCGTCGAGCCACCATGTAGCACCACGTCAGCACTCCTAAGCTCATGAAATAGCTCTCCAGATGGGTCGACACGTCGATGGGAAGCAGCGAAAGTGCAAAATGCCCCCCCAACTCCCATCGCAGAAGTGCCCCAAAAACATTTACCTTGTTCGCAAGTCTTCCCATGTTTTGGCCATTCACACAAGCACACGAAATCATCATTCGTAGAGGTGCACGAACGGGGACATCCAGCAGCTGCACATGGATCGGCTCCACATTCGCGAATATGTTGACCATGTTCGGGTCGAAATGCGATCGACCGTCCATTGAGCCGTACCTGATGGAATTTTGACCATTTAGGAGAAGAGGGTGGAAAATTTGAGCGTTTAAAAATTTCATCATCATCATGGACTCCTATCTAATCTTATCTCTCTAATCTCTAGAGGCATTATTTAAAGGCACATCCCTAGGTGACCGTACAAGTGGGGAATCCTGCTTGCCGCCGTAGAAGTGGGCCACAGCGTGGATGGGGAATGGGTGAAATGGCGGTGAGAGTAAGATCGCTCCAGTTACCCCCCCCCACCTTACCCCCGACGAAATAGAAACATTGAGACCCTGACCCTTCATTTCCTCATCCTACCTATCATCTAAGAAACGTCCAGTTCACGAGCCAACAATCTTCCTCTGATTTCTCAAGCAGAATTTTTCCGATTTTTCAAAAAGGAATATGGCGTCGGCGAAGCAGTCAAATAGCAGAATCAGCCACTGGAATAGTAGCTAGTATTTCTTTGCTGCTGCCAAGTAGTGCGAGGGGGAGGCAATAAAAGAGTCACTTTGCCCGTGAAGGGTACTCCTAAAACTGTTTTCTCAGAACGACGGCTAAACGAATACCTTTGCTTCCGTGGACGTTGGGGTGGGGTGGCATGGTTCAGGGCACATCACTGGTTGAGGATTGTGGTCGAGTCCGCGCGACCTTCCATTGGTGGATTAATGTAACCACCCGCTTGCCCCCTTAGTCCCCTCCTCTGATACGATAAACTGTCGAGCGGGGGTACACAATACATGTGAAACAGGAAAAACCACGAAAAGTCAACAACCGGAAAAATTTTTCCCAACGCCCTCCCAACAACGAGCAAGTACTGCTGAAGGCAACCCCTCCCCTTATGGCGTCCGTGAAACAAGAAAAACCAACTATCAAAAAATTTTCTCAGATCAAATAGACCCCCTACAGCCAGCGATCAATCACGACTCCTGCAATAGGGTTCTCTTGAACTTCGTAGTCTCAGAACAAAGACCTGTACGACTGGGGTTTCCTCAGCCAATGTCTGGCTATATAAAGTGAACGAGAAACGGGAAAAATCACGGAAATTCGGCAACGAATTTTCGTCGAAGCTAGGACAGCACTCCCCAGATATCAAGTACGATCCCTGATGAAATTTTCTCAACAATGCTGCAGTCTGCTCAGAAGGAGGGGACATCAGTCATGAAAGCACACCAGCCCCACTTGGCCATAGGGAGGTGAGCCCCTAAGTATGCGCCCGTCTTCTGTTTGCTAGCTATTGTTTGTGCTTCCCTTTTCGGCTTCCGAAACAAATGGCATCTATTAGTCTTTTCAAGTAGAATTGTTGGTTGCCCTGAACGATCGATCCTCCGGGAAAAGCTATGGTAGCGCAGTGGTAAAAACCAGTGACCTCCATCTAAAGGGCAGGGCCCCAAAATCCTACCATTAGAAAAACTTCTACGACCCTTTCCAGTGTAAAACCCTTCCAGTTCTCAAAATGTTGTCAACAGACTTAGGAAACGCCCCATTAATCACCAAAACGGCTTGCACATAGTATGATGCGGAGACTCAATGCAGACTCGGGACGTCCCCAACACAAGCATGGGATTGTGAGTATTCTCCGCGTTTATTGAAGACTCTCCCTCGTTCTCGGAATGAGGGCAGCTTGCTTCACTAATAAAACTAAAATAAATGAATCAGCCTGCGCCGTTATCCCACCCCTTATTAGGATGCGGTACACATTCCTCTTTCCATTTATAATCAAAGTGAAATGCATGCGTTGTGGACCATACAATGACTTCCGGGGCCCAACCATATGTAGAAAATCAGGGTACTTGTTCTTCCAGGAGAATCTGGGATCAATTAGTCGTTCCCAGAGAACGGAAGGTTTGGTCGGGCTTGGGCGGGAGCCGATCGGGACTCGACTCGCGGATCGCGGTGTCTAAAGACGGCGTGCCACTTGCACTATCCACCCCGCATCCACCAGTTATACGCAGGATAAACCCATATCGAATTTTTCATTCATAGGACTGCAGTAGTGGCGAAACAGACACTAGTTGCCTCGGGAGGGGCATCGCTCACCGATGCACCATGATCTGACGCGACAAAGTGACGTTATGCTGTCTAGGAGGGCGCAGTGAGAGAGTGGTATGTCCTGAGGTTGACGAACCCTTTGTGGACATGTCACGCTGTCTCTATGAGAGGGTATGGACGAGCAATTATGACGTGGCTAGGATTAGCAGGATAGTGGCATTCTATAAGCAAGATAACCGTAGCGGATCAATTATGAATTTTTGGAAGGACTTTTCCTCACCTTTTTCATGCATCCATGGAAACCGGAAATCATAGCGAGGTGATGCGGTAGCTCGCCATCGTATCCACCAATGTACAGCATTCCGGGCTCAGTGAGGGGACCACGAATTGAGATGAGCTGCGATTCTACCCACGATTGGCGATCCACCTAAATGAACAGCATTTCTCATATGAAGAAGGTGAGTGGAAGTCCAGTAATGACGAACTTTCATAAGAATTCCCTTGCCAGTTCTCCAGATTTCCGCGCGATGCCATGCTGGGTGGACCGGGATTCTGACCTGAAAAGGGCAGCGTTTCATAGGGTTACTAGGGTCGCGGCTGATTGAAAACAAGGAAAGAAAACTGGTATCAAATGACTGTAGAGTGGAATCAGGAGCGATCACCAAGAATAGCTTGGAAAGAGAAAAATCAGGAGCCGATCCATCGAAAAATATTGACCTACCCAATCCTTATAGAGCTTCCACACCAGTTTTACCTAATCCTTCTATTGCAGACGTAGGAACGCTTTGACCGCCGAGCCACAGAAACTTTTCCTCTACCGCACGGCTTCAGCCCATGAGGGCTGTTCCTCCTCCGCACTCTAGAGCCCCACCCACATTGCTCGTTCCCACAACGCGACTGGTTTCACGAACTGACGCCCATCACATGAGCGAGAATTGCTTCTCAATCGAGCCCCGGTGCGCAATTGACGTTTGCTTGCTTTAGCTTTGGACTGTAAGACGTTGACTCCATAAGGCAACTCAGGCGCTCGTAGGATCTCGCATAACGATTTGGACACATGGGCACTATCCCTTTCAGCTGCTCCAACTCTGGCAATCATCAAGTTTTTCTTCTTTTTTTCTTGGCAGCGCACACGTCCGACTAGCAAGTTTCTCTAGGGTAGTTTGCCTCTCGTGCATCCCATAGCTCCGTTTGGTTTGGAACCGCCTTGAGCGCGCCACAGGTGCCGGGCACAGCCAAGGGCAAGATCATGTCGCAGCAACATAAAGAGTGGCCACATTGTCTCCTGCATTCCCAACCACCCCTGCACCGCCGAAAGCAGCGCTGGAGTCGCGCACATGTGCACGTGTCAAGGTGAGGCGCGTGATCATCTCCTGCAATGTGCCAGGCGACTTCGTGCCACGGAGAAGCAATATTCATTTTCAGGGTAAGATACCACGGGATTTGGGGATTCAGGATATTTTGGCGCTGGCCGGAGAGGATCTGTTCCCCTGAAAAAAATCCGGTAAAATGCTGGCTTGACTTTGGAAAATTGGGGCAGTAAAGGGTCAGCTGCGCACACAGTCGTTTTCAAGAATTTCTCTACGAAAAAAGAGCTTTTTCCATAAATGCAGGAACTGTTTTGTCAGGCTAATATTCTTGAGTTTCCTTCCCCCAAGGCTTGTCGCTTCGGCGCACGTTCGCAGACCTCGCTAGTGAAAATGTCAAACTTCATACCAATTGCACATATTTTGGGCACCGCATCAGAAGCTGAAAAAATGTAGAACCTTATTTTTCGTCACAACTTCGCGCCTTCGGACTACAAACCCCTCTGCAGGTCTGAATGCGGTTCCCTCTTCTGCTTGCCAATGAAGTAATAGCCTCACCGTCAAAGCGGATTTTCACCCAGTATCAATGTCATGTACTATATGTTTTGAATCAATCCCCTTTTCAAGAGGATGAAAAGTGCTTAGAGTTTAGGAGATAATCACTGCATCAAGCGCCTTGTCAACTCTTGCACTTTCTGTGGCATGTTCGGACGACGATACATTCATTAGGATCACATCGCAGGCGTGGAGGTATCCATTTTCACTCATGGGCATCACCGTCATTCCTTATAGAGCTGAACATCGTTGGAAGGACCTTTCAAGAGGTCGTTCTTGGCCGCTGGGGATGATGTCGCAGTTGGCAGGTGGGGACATTCTGTTGGAATCCTTGGAGAAACTGGGAGAAGTTGTAGGAAGTTGGGAGAATCTAGGAAGATATCAGGTAGGAGAAAGGGGCTCGTACCAGAAGAGCAAAGTCCGGGTCATCACATCAGCTGCGCCATTTTGTAAATCACACCCTGCTTCCATCCGGGACTTCCTCTGCAGCTTCCTAACCCTTGTTTGGGCTAGCTGTTCCGAAAAGGAATATGCCACTAGTGAATGATTGAAAGATTGGTCGAGCCTTATCCTGAACAGATAAAAAATTCAGCGCCTTTCACTGATTAATATATTTGGGATGCGCCATGCACTTTACTTTTTTCCCAAGTTCTCGGAACCATATTTTGCCCATTCGCAAAAACCATCAATGATAGCTTATCTTCCGAACAGGTCTAGTTAACCCCAGAGCACGTAAGGTTTGCTCGGCACAGCTTATTGCAGTTCAAGATTTGCCTCATGGATCATGAATGGGGATGGCGGCCCCTATGTCGTCATTCTTCTAGGAATTTTACCTCTCTTTAGCCGACGCTCTCTGAGGCATCAGCAACCGAGAGCTTATGTATGAGGAATAGCTTACTTACTGCTTGCATCAGCTTCTAGCTGGGATCAGTTTCTATATACTGAGATTAGGAATCCCCTGATGTAAATAACACACGATTATCCGCTTGTTTACGGAATGGCCAACAAAAACAAGCGTGCCAGGGCGGTTAGCCCAATTCACAGCGACCATGGAAACACAATCACAACATGAGCAGCTGCAATCTCAAACAAGAAAGTGGACCCCATGACGGGGCGAGGATGTCGAAAGAGGGGAGGATGGGCGTTCTGTGTACTGGTTTCGTGTTTTAAAGAGACTATTGAAGTAATGTGACCCCCATGACACTGAAGGGTAAACAAATCTGGACATTATTTGGCTTGGAGGGGCACCTGTGCTCACTCCTACCGGAGACTGATACGAACGAAATGGTACGTCATGCTCATACTGCACTTCTAATGGAAAGATAACGTGCAACATGGCGCATATCTTTCGTCTCTCAGCCACTAGAAAGAGGGTGCACAGATGCCCCCCCCCCCTCCTCTCCAAGCCGAATAGCTATGTAAGACCTGGAGTCGGTGGTCGTGACTCATTAGGTCTCCATTCAGAGCCTCACGTATGATTTTCATTCTAACTTCCTGGCTTGTAAGGTGAGGAACATTGCCTCCTTTCGCGCTTTCCTTCTTGGAAGGGGCAGTTTGGTAGTTCCCATAGATCATTAGCGAGTTATACTGTGGAGGCGTGTGAACCCTTGTGAGGCGTTGCCCTAGCATGAGCCCGGTTTCCACTCTACAATACTCGCAGGCCTCGCAAAGGAACGTCTGCAACTTACTGGGAGCTAACAAAAGGTAGACAGTAAAAGGAAGTCAAAAGAAGTAAATCTTACAATGAACAAACCAGTGAACTAGGGAAACGTGCATCCCTCCATCCCTAATCCTCTGCATCCCTGAAGCCTCAGAAGGGAGCACTCAAAAAGGGGTAAGTAGGACAAAGATTTCACGCAGAAAAGCGATGCCAATGGTTATTGCTTTGAAAATTTTACTGTCTTGTCGTTCAGAGAAGCGGCAAGGACGCGTGGTAATGAGCTCGCCAGCCCGCTGTCTACTAACTGGCAGCCTCCTACATAAAGCGGCACAATTTGTCACAAGTGGGCGTAAAACGCGTGATCTGTCTTTCAGTTACGAGGAACATTTTCTTCTTAGCTGCTTCATAAGTCCAGTACAAGTCTCACTCTAGTAAAAATCTGTGAAGTCTTTGTGAAGGTCTTTACCCCAGGAACCCACCGTGCAGATTATGGTGGACTACGGAGGGTTGGCGGACCTACTACGATGGTATCCGGAGCCGAAATCCCAATAACGGTTTGCAGTGTTGGCCGGCCACTGCCCTTCCCTTCCCGTATCGTCCACCACCCACCCTCCCCCGTCCCACCCTATTTCTTCACCTGTATATACATATATGATCACAATAACACTGTGAAATAATAGTATACATTGATAGTTTTTTTCTTACCTCTTATTTCTTCGCCCTGTATCATTCCTATTGTCATTCCGTGGTCACTTCTAATTAGCTAACTGGTTATTAATGCACACAATAGTTCAAATAAATAATGTGGAGCAAGCTCGTTGAGCCCCCACGGTAAAACCTGTCAACTCGTGTAGCTTCCCAGATGTGTCAACACTTCTGGAAAGTAGCAAAAGTGCAAGATGCCCCCTTCCCTCCGTCGCTGCAGTGCCCACTGATGATTACTATCAGCGTGTCACGAACGTAGCGCTTGGCAAAGCTCTGAAGAACTGTGTGAGAGCTAAAAGCGATTGTTTTGGAGACCACAATTTTCTTTTGGATTGCCATGTTTATAGTTAACAGTAACTGATAATTAGAACTGATTTCTGAGAGCTGCTGACGAAATGGCCATGATGATTGGTGCGCTACTATTTCTACCCCGTCTTGATGCATACTTGTATCTGGCAGTAGAGGCCTGTGCGCCCCTAACCTTCCGGATGGAAGTTTTCCTGTCAGAAATGAGTTCTTGTTGGCCAAGTTATAGCTATATTTCATGGTTTCCGTGCAACATTAACCAAAGCATGGCATGCTTTCAGGATGATTATGAGGTCTTTTTTGATGGGCATGGAATTTATCATGAGCATTAGCCATCTCTTGATAGATTAGTGCAAACTGCTCGATGGCACTCCTCGAAGGTGGGAATAATCGCAGTGGTTATAGGTCCTGCTTAGCTCTAACAACGAAAACAAGCCTAAAGGTACTATGGTTATGAAACTCTCTAATGTCTGGAAGAATTAGCCTGACTGAGCTTTATAGCTCGGTCAGGTCAATTTTTCCGCTGACCGAGCCATTAAGCTTGAAGGTCAACCTTTCGCCTATGATCAATCACTTTGGTCCCTTCTTCAGTGAGGCACGCAGTTACTCCCATTCAGAATAGTGGCTTTTATTGCTGTATGACCTGTACAGCGACGTGAAGACCGGCGGAGGTAAAAAACAATGCTTTTCCCCTCCCGAGTTTACTTCCAATTTACCGGCCAAGGTGAGATAGAATGTTTAACTGGATAGGACAAGAGCTGATCTGCGACGTGGTCCAGATCGAGCGTAAGCTAGGCGGCACCGCGTTTCGGTACACTACCGATACCG